TTTGTTCTCCATCCCAAGGGTTTGTTCTCCATTCCCAAGGATTTGTTCTCCATCCCAAGGGTTTGTTCCCAGGGATTTGTTCTCCTTCCCAAGGGTTTGTTCTCCATCCCAAGGATTTGTTCTCCTTCCCAAGGGTTTGTTCTCTTTCCCAAGGATTTGTTCTCCTTNAAGGATTTGTTCTCCTTCCCAAGGGTTTGTTCTCCATCCCAAGGATTTGTTCTCCTTCCCAAGGGTTTGTTCTCTTTCCCAAGGATTTGTTCTCCATTCCCAACCTTTTGTTCTCCATCCCAAGGGTTTGTTCCCAGGGATTTGTTCTCCATTCCAAGAGTTTGTTCTCCATCCCAAATGTTTTTTCTCCATCCCAAGGGTTCTCCATCGCCAGGAATTTTTTCCCAAGAACTCTTTCTCTATTCCAAGGCTTTGTTTTCTATCTCCAAGACTTTGTTCCCAAGATTTTTGTTCCCAAGGGATTTGTTCTCCATCCCAGGGATTTGTTCTCCATTCCCAAGGGTTTGTTCTCCATCCCAAGGGTTTGTTCTCCATCCCAAGGGTTTGTTCTCCATTCCCAAGGATTTGTTCTCCATCCCAAGGATTTGTTCTCCATTCCAAGGGTTTGTTCTCCATCCCAAGGGTTTGTTCTCCATCCCAAGGATTTGTCCTCCATCCCAAGTGTTTGTTCCCAGGGATTTGATCTCCATCCCAGGGATTTGTTCTCCATCCCAAGGGTTTGTTCTCCATCCCAGGGATTTGTTCTCCATCCCAAGTGTTTGTTCCCAAGGGTTTGTTCTCCATCCCAGGGATTTGTTCCCCTTCCAAGGCTTTTTCTCCATCCCAAGGGTTTGTTCTCCATCCCAAGGGTTTGTTCTCCATTCCCAAGGATTTTTCCTCCATTCCCAAGAGTTCTCCATCCCCAAGACTTCCTTCCCAAGATTTTTTGTCCTCCATTCCCCAGCCTTTGTTCCCACGGATTTGTTCTCCATTCCCAAGGGATTTGTTCTCCCTTCCCAAGGGTTTGTTCTCCATCCCAAGGTTTTGTCCCCAGGGATTTGTTCCCCATCCCAAGGGTTTGTTCTCCATCCCAAGAGTTTGTTCTCCATTCCCAAGGATTTGTTCCCCATCCCAAGAGTTTGTTCTCCATCCCAAGGGTTTGTTCCCAAGGATTTGTTCTCCATCCCAAGGGTTTGTTCCCAGGGATTTGTTCTCCATCCCAAGGGTTTGTTCTCCATCCCAAGGATTTGTTCTCCATCCCATGGACTTGTTCCTAGGGATTTGTTCTCCATCCCAAGAGTTTGTTCTCCATCCCAAGGGTTTGTTCTCCTTCCCAAGGGTTTGTTCTCAATCCCAGACATTTTCCTCCATCCCAAGAGTTCTCCATCCCCAAGACTTCCTTCCCAAGACTTTTTGTTCTCCATTCCCAAGACTTTGTTCTCCATTCCCAAGGGTTTGTTCTCCATCCCAAGGGTTTGTTCTCCATTCCCAAGGGTTTATCCCCAGGGATTTGTTCTCCATTCCCAAGACTTTGTTCTCCATTCCCAAGACTTTGTTCTCCATTCCCAAGACTTTGTTCTCCTTCCCAAGGATTTGTTCTCCATCCCAAGAGTTTGTTCTCCATCCCAAGGATTTGTTCTCCATCCCAAGGGTTTGTTCTCCATCCCAAGGATTTGTTCTCCATCCCAAGGGTTTGTTCTCCATTCCCAAGGGTTTGTTCTCCATCCGAGGGATTTGTTCTCCATCCCAAGCATTTTTCCTCCATCCCAAGAGTTCTCCATCCCCAAGACTTCCTTCCCAAGCTTTTTGGCCTCCATTCCCAAGCCTTTGTCCCCAGGGATTTGTTCTCCATTCCCAAGGGATTTGTTCTCCCTTCCCAAGGGTTTGTTCTCCATTCCAAGGTTTTGTCCCCAGGGATTTGTTCCCCATCCCAAGGGTTTGTTCTCCATCCCAAGGGTTTGTTCCCCATCCCAAGAGTTTGTCCTCCATCCCAAGGGTTTGTTCCCAGGGATTTGTTCTCCATCCCAAGGATTTGTTCTCCATCCCATGGACTTGTTCCCAGGGATTTGTTCTCCATCCCAAGGGTTTGTTCTCCATCCCAAAGTGTTTGTTCCCAAGGTTTTGCTCCCCCTTCCAAGGTTTTTCCTCCATTCCCAAAGCTTTGTCCTCCATCCCCAAACATTTTTCCTCCATCCCAAGCCTTCTCCATCCCCAAGGCTTCTTCCCCCCTCCCAATCCCTCCGTGTCCCCCCCCCGCAGGGACGCCGCGGCCGCGGCCGCCCGGGAAGCCCTGGATATCCGGGATTCCTCCGGAGACGCGGAATACTGGGAAGCGCTGGCCCACGTCATCCCGGAGCCCAAGCTGAAACTCTGGGATGCTCTGGATGCGGCGCTTCTGGAATACCAGTGAGTTCCCGGGGCGGGATGGGGGGGGGAACATTCCAGAGGGGCATTCCCGACATTCCCGGCGTCCCTTCCCAGCCGTGTCCTGAGCCGGAGAGCCGAGCTCCTCTCCCAGGCCACGCTCCTGCAGCAGCAGAACTCGGAGCTGGGAATGCTCCTGGAGGAATATCTGCGCTCCAAAGCCAGCGGCTGAGCCGGGAATTCCGGCCCCTGGAACCGGATCCGAACGCGTGCCGAGGAATCGCTGGGAATGGGCGGGGCCGGGCGGGGATTTGCTGGATCTCGATCTGGATCTAAACCTGGATCTGAGTTTGGAGCTAGATCTGGATCTGAATCGGGATCGGGATCTGGGTTTGCATCTGAATCTGGATCTGGACCTGGATCTAGATCTGGATCTGAGTTTGGATCTGGACCTGGATCTGGACCTGGATTTGGTTCTGGACCTGGATCGGGATCTGGGTCTGGACCTGGATTTTGATCTGGACCTGGACCTGGATCTGGATTTGGATCTGGGTTTGCATCTGAATCTGGACCTGGATTTGGACCCAGATCTGGATCTGGATCTGGATCAGGATTTGGATCTGGGTTTGGATCTGAATCTGGAGCTAGACCTCGATCTAGAGCTGGATCTGGATTTGTATCTGGATTTTTGACCTGGATCTGGATTTGGAGCTGGACCTGGATCTGGATCTGGACTTGGATCTGGATCTGACCCTGGATTTGGATCTGGATCTGAACCTGGATTTGGATCTGGATCTGGACCTGGACCTGGATCTGGATTTGGATCTGGATCTGAATTTGAATCAGGATTTGGATCTGGACCTGGATCTGGATTTGGATCTGGGTTTGGATCTGGATCTGGATTTGGATCTGGACCTGGATCTGGATCTGAACCTGGATTTTGTTCTGAATCTGGACATAGATCTGGATCTGGATCTGGATCTGGACCTGTATCTGGATTTGGATCTAGACCGAGATCTGGATCTGAGTTTGGATCTGGACCTGGATTTAGATCTGGATCTAGACCTGGATCCGGACCTGGATTTAGATCTGGATCTAGACCTGGATCTGGATTTTGATCTGGATCTAGACCTGGATCTGGATTTTAATCTGGATCTGGATTTGGATCTGGACCTGGATCCAAGCCAGGGATTCCCAGCTCAGGGATCAATAAAACCCTTCCCAATAAAACCCTTCCCTTTTCTCACCTTTTATATCCCTGACTCCCATCAAAACCCCTCTGAGTGGATCCTGAGTGTCCTTTATCCCGGAATCCTGGAATGGTTTGGGTGGGAAGGGACCTTAAATCCCATCCCATTCCATGTTCAGGGACACCTCCCACTGTCCCAGGGAATCCAACCCGGCCTTGGACACCTCCAGGGATCCAGGGACAGCCACAGCTTCTCTGGGAATTCCAGCCCAGCCCCTCCCCACCCTCCCAGCCAGGAATCCCTTCCCAATATCCAATTTTTGGTTTTTATCCCTGTTCCCTTTTTCTACCCATTTCCAGCTATTTTTCACCCATCCCAGACTCTTTCCCAAGCCCTTTCCACGTGGATTCGGGCCCAGCTTCCCGAGGCCACGGGAAGTGAAGCCCCTTTCCCTCCCCAAACCCCATCCCAGATTATTTTGGGGTGATTCCCGTGCCCTTCCCGCGTGGATTCGGGCCCAGCTTCCCGAGGCCACGGGAAGTGAAGCCCCTTTCCCTCCCCAAACCCCATCCCAGATTATTTTGGGGTGATTCCCGGGCTTCCCAC